CGCATGGCAATATTCCACGTTGTCTTGACATAATTATGCGTAATGAATGTGTTGAACAAGCCAAACCAGGTGATCGTTGTGATTTCATTGGAACATTAATTGTCTTACCCGATGTTAGTCAGCTATCAATGCCTGGTGTTCGCTCTGAAAGTGCACAACGTACACAAGGTGGTGATGATAAAGGTTATAGTGCTGACGGTGTACGCGGCTTAAAAGCACTTGGTGTACGTGATCTAACGTATCATTTAGCATTTCTTGCATGTCATATAACACCAGCTGAACAAGCAACGGTAGAAACATTATTAAATTCGGATTCGAAAAAGAAACGTATCGAATCGATGATGTCAGATAAAAATCTTTTTGTTAATTTACGTACAAGTCTTTTCCCGACTATTTATGGTAATGATGAAATTAAATCTGGAATTTTATTAATGTTGTTTGGCGGTGTACCAAAACGAACAATGGAAAAAACAAGTTTACGTGGTGATATTAATATTTGTATTGTTGGCGATCCATCGACAGCTAAATCACAATTTTTAAAGTAGAAAAAAATATTTTTATTGATTAAATTATGAATTTTTCTTCTTCAGACAAGTTGCAGAATTTTCACCACGCGCTGTTTATACAAGTGGTAAAGCTTCGACAGCTGCTGGTTTAACTGCAGCTGTAGTTAAAGATGAAGAATCAAATGAATTTGTTATTGAAGCTGGTGCACTTATGCTTGCTGATAATGTAAAAAAATCGAATATTTTTACTCTTAAAGATGATTATTTAATTTAGGGTGTTTGTTGTATTGATGAGTTCGATAAAATGGATCCAAAAGACCAAGTTGCTATTCACGAAGCTATGGAACAACAGACAATTAGTATTACAAAAGCAGGAATAAAAGCAACACTCAATGCACGAACATCGATCTTAGCTGCAGCTAATCCAATTGCTGGACGTTATGATAAATCACGATCATTGAGACATAATGTTAATATGAGCGCACCAATTATGTAGGTTTTATCGAGAACTATGAAAGCATTGTATAATAGGGCATGTTTTTTTTATAATTTAGGTCTCGTTTCGATTTATTCTTTATTGTTATTGATGAATGTAATGATGTCACTGATTATAATATTGCTGAACGTATTATTGATTTACATACATCGGGAACTCGTGTATCAAATCCGTCACTCGTTACTCAATATACATTTAATGATATTCGAGATTATATTACCTATGTTAAAGCAGCTGTTCAACCAAAATTAACACCAGCTGCTAAAGAACATATTATAGGACTCTATAAACAATTACGTTTACGTGAAACATCATCATCAAGTACTGGTCGTGTATCATCGTCGTCAACACCGATCACTGTTCGTCAATTGGAAAGTTTAATTCGTCTATCGGAAGCGGTAGCTAAAATGTATTGTCAAGAAGATATTGAGATTAAACATGTTCAAGAAGCTTATCGACTTTTAAGTAAAGCGATTATACATGTAGATCAACCGGACATTGATCTTAACGAATATAATCGGCCAACTGCAACTGCAACAGACGAACCTATGGAAGAAGAACAACAAGAAGACACAAACAAGGACGAAACGAAAATATCTGTTGATGAATATAAACGTTTAACAAATATAATGGTTTATCAATTACGTAAATTAGATGAAGAACAAGAAAGTGATAGTCAATCAACTGTTGTTATGCCTGGTGTTAAACGACGTGAACTGGTCAATTGGGTACTTGAGCAATTAGCCGATGAAATAAATAGTCTTGATGAATTAGCACGAAAGAAAGCAACTCTCGAGAAAATTATTGATCGTCTTGTACACGTTGATGAAATTCTTATTCAACTTGATAAGCGTACTGTTAGTCAATTTAGTGCTGCAACCGATGGTAAAACTGCTATGGCAGGTGAAGAACAAGATGATAGTGAAGATCCCGATGGAAATAATCTTTATCTTATTGTACATCCAAATTATGTTACCGAAGATCAATAGATTATATATATATACACGTATATCTTATTTTTCTTGTAAAATTTAAATACATCTATATTTTTTTAATCGGTAGAATAAATCAATGTAGGAAGTTAATACGTATATGAATTCGTTTTTGTTTTAATGGATTAATAATATTATTCTATGAATTATATTGTTCGCCCAAAGAAAAAGAAAATTTTTAAGGACCTCAAGGGAAACTAAATTGAGAGTAGCATAAAAAATAACCGTTGTTCGCAAGTCATTAACTAAGATACTTTCAATTAAGTTCTTGCAGTAAGGAATTTTACTATGGTTGCTTTTAATTTCTAACAGAAAATCGAAGAAAAACACATTCTGTTAACAGAATCTCTCAGAAATTCCATTAATTTAACATCAGTCATTCAGTTTCTGCCAAATTTTTAGACCTATTTTTAATAGCTAATTTTTACTGCATAATAGAAGATAGTTCTTCAAAAAAGCATTGAAATTCAACAAGTGGTTCGGGTGTAAATGGAGTATACGAACGAATAGAATAAGCTGTGTTTAGAGATTTCGTATTTCCTGGTTAAAATATTATTATTGCTGTAATGAGGAAATTACAATAAAAATAAACTTTTTTGTCATGTTTGTATTGTTAGATCGTATTTAGCAAAAGAGTCAGGTTGCTGGTGCCACAATAAATAAACATTTCAATTCTTGACGGAAAACTTTTCCAGTAAGTGTAAAAATGAAAAAATGATATTGAACCGTGTTTATTAAAGTAATGAGCACAAAAAGAATGTCAAGAAGGTTCTCTACTTGTTGTTGTTGTACAGTTTTATTATAATTTTGAGTCATTTCATTATAAATGTTTTGTATAGAAATTGGTAACGAAAGAATAATAGAACAAACGACTTGAACAAGAAGCATAACAGTCATTTGTGTTGATGTTTTCGTTTTTCGATTATTCGGCATATCATTATCTGTAAGAGCTATGTGTCGTTTAGTCTTTCGTATATTTCGGATAGTCAATAAGTCAAATATCAGAATTAGACAACAAGAAAAAAAAAGAATAGGCAAGAAAAAGTGCAAAACTATTGTATAGCTTGCATAAGTAAGATACAACTAGGGATGCGCCGATTCCTACACTATGCTTTTAAAAATGACATTCTTTTGCGATAAAGACGCGCTATATACGAATTTTTTATATTCGTTTTGACCAGTTTTTCATGCTCTATCTGAATCAGCCGTCAAAATCCACACACTGTAATACAAACCTTTCGGACTCGGTGTGAAGTCGATCAAAAAGTGAAAATTTAATGATTTTTTCGACCGATTCCAACTGAATTACAGATTTATCTTTCGCATTAGAATATTCCTGGGGATTGATTTGAAAAGAGCGTTCAAAACTGAGCAGAAATAATATGGAAAATCTATCAGAGTATGTCAAGTGTCGATGTTGAGCAAATATTTTTGCAACCAGAGAAAAACCAATTCCAGCCGATTCCTAGAATTTCTTAGAAATATTTTAGAAACTGAAAAAACCTGGAGTTATGAGATTCTGATAGATTTTTCGTATATTTCTGCTCAGTTTTGAACGCTCTTTTCAAATCAATCCCCAGGAATATTCTAATGCGAAAGATAAATCTGTAATTCAGTTGGAATTGGTCGGAATCGGTCGAAAAAATCTTTAAATTTTCACTTTTTGATCGACTCCACACCGAGTCCGAAAGGTTTATTTTACAGTGGGTGGATTTTGACGGCTGATTCAGATAGAGCATGAAAAACTGGTCAAAACGGATGTAAAAAATTCGTATATAGCGCAAGTCTTTATGGCAAAAGAATGTCATTTTTAAAAGCATAGTGTAGGAATCGGTGCATCCCTAGACAGAATAACTTTAGCTCTCTCTATGTTGCAATAGTTAGTAATCTCACATTAAAAGATTATCATTCGCCCTTAATTAGATCAGACTGAAAAGCACAAGTAACGCTCATCCTACGTATTCGCTGACCCTTTTCTGAAAAAATAAAAATGGTACTTCATTGTGAATTACAAAAGCAGTCTACGATGAACTTGTAGGAAGTTTGTTTCGGAAGATAGTTATGCAACACAGTAAT